TAATCTGCATAAAGCAGATTGTTCCTGTCTTCCTTCAATCCTAAAACCACATTCTTCATATAATCTAGCTTTTTGAATGATTTACTCAGCAAACAGATTGAATAGATAGGGAGAAAGGGTACAACCTTGACACACATTTTTCCTGATTTTAAACCATACAGTTGTTACCTTGTTGTGTTTTGTGGGTTTTTGTTTTTTTTTCTTTTGGACAGTTATTTCTTTGTCTAGGTATAGGGTTGGCATACAATTAAGTGTTCTGGGATTCCCATTTGTCTTAATGACTGTGATAATTTGTTAAAATGAACACAGTCAAGCTACTACTTTAAAGGTTTTAAATCCTATAAATCATTTGCACCATGTGGTTTCCTTGGAAAGCTTTTAAAAGAATTTTACCTCCTAAATAACTGTGCTATGAACTATTATTTTTAGAAGGCAATTTTTTATTACCCATTTCTTCAAAGGAGGCTTAAGTAAATGTTATAGCAGCAATTTAATTTTATTGATTCTGTAACCTTTTCATTAAAACAACCACTTAGCCATAAAACAAATCCATATTTATGATTTAAGATTTATGAGGCAACATCTTTAATTAGCTCTTCAGAAATGTTGTGATCCTTACTGGAGTTTATTTAGAAAGCTACCGTTAAGCTATATACAGTAATATAAATTACTACTTACATAGTATTCTCTCTGACATGTAAGAGAATGTAATCAGAAGCCCATGAAATGAAAATATTTTCATTTAGTTCTGTAGTCTTCTGTTCTATGTATTACTAGACCATAGCCACTCCTAGCTGCTCTACTCCCCCTTCTCTTACTTGTTGCAGTTGAATCAGAACCAACTCATAGCTGACCCTCGACAGAGTTTCCAAGCTGGAAGCAAAGTGCCGATCTTTTTCTGACACAGCTGCTGGTGAATTCAAACCATAACAGGAGCAAGGCCTTTGGGTTAGCTTTGGAGCTCTCTCCAGATTACGTCACAAGAAGTCCTGCTGACTAAATATTCACACATTTGTAGAATCTGAGTTTATTGTAGGATTTTCCCCTATTCACTAAAATTTAGAAATTATCTATAAATGGGTTGTAACTATAGTTAAAATTTAAGGCTTACCATTTCTGCAATTATTTTTGAAGCCTGCAGATTTTTCATTGTGCACATTTGGGCAGTGAATACTAGTTTTACAAGGCTCTTTTAGAGCATGCTTACTCTATCATTATTATTATATGCAGTTTCATAATCTTGAGGATTTCATCTCTTCAGTGTGTTCCTCTAGGAATTTTTCCAACTAATGGGAGCTGGGGTTCATGGAGTCAGTGCCATGAATGGGGCCATATGAGAAGGAAGTAAAATAAGAGAACAAGGTTGAGTTGTTTCTTAATTGACAAATATTTTAAATAGTCAAGAATTAAAAAAAAAAAAAGAATTAATACATATATACTCACAAGCAAGCTAACCAGTCAAGAATTATAATAGATATACACCCACAAGCAAGCTAATCAGATTTTTATGTTACGTTTATTTCAGATTTAATTTAAATACATAAACTATTACACATAAAATCGAGGCTCTGAGTATATTTTATCCTACTTTAGGATTTTACTTAATAGCTCTGATACATTATTATTTTTCTACATTTTCTAGTTTATTTACATAATAAAGGATAATTGACATAATGAAAAAATTGAGCTTTTTAAAATGAACGGTTGTCATTTAGTACATTCAGATGTTTGTGACTGCCACCTCTATCCAGTTCTGAAACATTCCCATTACACCGGTTTTAATTGCTATATCATGAGTGTACTCCATGTTATCTGTTCTCTGGCTGGTGAGAATTTAGTAAACTTTTTCTACTGTCATACACAGAGCTGCAGTAAACATTTTTTAACTTGCCTCATTGTGCACCTGCTGTAGCCTTTTTCTCCAGTATGTGCTTAGGAGAGGAATTGGATATGTGCATCTTTTGTTTCACTACAGTTTCTCAGACACTCTTTAGAGTGGAGTTACTCTTTAGTCCCAAAACAATGCTGTAAGAGTGGAGGAGAGAAAGGAAAGGGTTAGGGGGGAATGAGGTGGGGAATGATGAGATAACTAGGTCTAAACACAACCAGAAGGGTCTCAATAGGATAAAGAGACACTTTTTTTTCTTCAGAAAAAGGCTGACGGTCCACTGTTGTCCTTTTAGGTCAAGAATGTGGTGGCTTTTTGTTTGTTTGTTTTTAATCTTGTTTTGTACCATTGAATCAGATCTGTCTGGCACAAGAGAAGATTGCTCTTCCTTCTCCAGTGGAGCATCTGGTGGATTTGAACCGCTCGCCTTCGCAGTTGCAGCACAGCTTCTTGCCACACCAGAGCTCCCTAAGAATGAGTTTTTTAATTGAGTTTTACAAAGCCTTTTTTGCCAGATATGCTGAAAATTTTGCCTTAAGACATTTGCTTCTGAATGTGCCAAACGATCAATTACTTATTCAGATGACACAGAGAATAGGCGAATGAATGAATTCTTTCTTTTTACTGGAGCAGGTGAAATTTAAATAATATATAATGAAGACAGATAAACACTTCAGCTTTGCTTTTTTTTTTAAATAAGCCGTATAACTTTCTTGCATTATGTATTTCATTTTAGGGTGCTGTTTAGCTTAAACTTGCATTTTCTAAAATATGAGAAAGTTCTACTTATGCAGCCAAACCTTTTTTCTGGTCATAGATTCATTGTTGTTGTTGTTGTTAAGTGCCGTTGAGTCACAGGCAACTCATAGCGACCCTATGAAGGAGAGTCCTTGACGCTTGGGTGCCTTTCATCCTCTCTCCAGGTTCATAGGATTTCGGGAGACAAGCTGTTATGGAAGTGGATGCCACTCCTCCTTCCAACATAGATTCATTATGCACATTAAAACAAACGATGTAGTTGGTTTATGTTGAATTATTTACTACCTTCTAATCCAGGCCATAGTCTTCAAAATTACTTGCTATGTGTCAGAACACTGGACAATGACTAGGGATGATAGAAGGAGAATTGATGCCTTTGAACTGTGGTGCTAGAGAGGAGTATTGAATATACCAGGGTCTTCTAGGAGAACAAAGAGGTTTATCTAAGAGGGTGAAGCCACGCTGCTCCTTGGAGGCAAGGATTCTGAAGCTCTGCCTGACATACTGTGGGCATGTTGCAAGGAGAGGGACATCATGCTTGGGAGGGTGGACAGACAATGCAAGAGAGGAAGATCCTTAATGAGATGAATTGATTCAGTGACTGGTGTAATGGGGGTAGCTGTGTCAGACACAATAAAGTTGGCTCAAGGTAGAGGAGAATTCAGAGCTGTTGTACATAGGGGTCGTTATGAGTTACAATCAACTTGATGGCACATAACAAAAACAACCATATCATTTGGCCTAGTGATAGGAAACTATGCTGCAATCCCAAAGGTATGTGCTTTGAATCTTCCAGCTGCTCCACAGAAGGTTGGACAATCTCCCGTCTGTTTAACTGCTTCTGAAAACCTGCCAGATGGTCAGCTATGGGTCGATTCCGACTTGAAGGTACACTACAACCGCCACTATATCATTAGGATTTCCTGGATGGCGTAAATGATGAAGCACTTGGTTGACTACTAACTGAAAAGTTAGTGGTTTGAAGCCATCCAGGAGCTCGTTGGAAGATAATTTTGATAATCTACTTCTGAAAGATCACAGTTTTGAAAACTTAGTTCAGCTTTGTCCCATGAGGTCCCATGACTTGGAATTGACTGAATGACAACTAACTATAGTAATGACTGTATCCTTAGAGTCCTCAGGTGGTACAAGTAGTAATTACACATGGCTGCTAACCAGAGGATTGGGTGTTTGCGTCCATCCAGCAGCACGTTCAAAGAAAGGACTGATGATTTACACCTGAAAAACCCCATCATTGAAAATCCTGTGAAGCATAGTTTACTGACATACATAGGGTCACCATGAGTCGAGATCCATTTCATGGCTTGAGCTTACAGAGCTGCTACAGGGAAATAATGTTTTTCTGTAATGTTCTTTCTTTGTGCTCCCCCTACCCATTATGGTTCACTTTTATCTGGCTTAAGAGAGCAAGCAAGCAGTACAGGGAGGAATGAGAAGAGGCAGTATGGATTAATGCTTTTCAGATTGGACTCTTGACAGTGCTGGGTGTTAGGTTGATTCTAGTCAGCACTACTTAGAGGAATCTAGTATTTTGTTTGGCATACTTGACTTGGTGGTGGTAGCACATTCTGGTGCCTCATTGATTGGGGTTAGTTATAATATATATTTAGTTGAAGCTTCCTATCATCAGTGAGCACTTTTTGCAGGAAATGGAATTGCTTATTTTCAGGGCCTTTTGTGCAGCCTACATTGGTATGGAAACATTTGAAAACCTTGGCTTCTGTCTCTGGTTTTCTGTGTTCACAGATAGGGAAATCTAACACTAGGCTTGGCATACACTGTTCCCTCATGTGAAACAGTTTCTTCTTTAATCTTTCTAGTTTAGTCCTATTCACATTTGGTGTTTTCTTCTCAGGATTGCTTTGTACTCTTAAGAATTATAAGACTTAAGTAAAAATGATAGGACTACTTTGTGAATTATATCTGAAGGTATTTGTCATATTGGAAATTAGGACAAATTTGAAAATGTCTAATTTTAAATAACAAAATTCATTACTTTGTTAATGGAAATCAATATTTTTATGGAAAATATTTTTTTAATAAAACATGATTAGAAGAGTAGCCATTAAAATATATGTGAAAAAGGCAAACAATATCTTAGTATTTTTATGAGAATATCTTGGCCTCCAGGTTGTAATTATTGACTTCTTATTTCTTCTTTGCCTTCGTCTCGATCTGACTCACTTTTATAGCCCCAGCAGCAATTTTCTTCAACAGTTCCATTGGGTCATTCGCTCGAATTAGCTACAATGAGAGTGGCTGAACTTAATCCTGTGCAAATGGCTTAAGTGAAATATTTTTCAATTTTTTTCTCTCTCTTTCTGTTATACAGGAAACTTTATTTTCTTATATCAAAGAAAATGTTAAAGAGTATCTACAGACACATTGGGAAGAAGAGGAATGCCAGGAAGATGTCAATCTCTTGAGGAAGCAGGTTGGGACATTTCTCTTACCTCCACATTTTCAAGTGTCTTAGAATTTGAGAATGTCTGGGGTCTTAGACTTCTGCTGCTGGGAGCATATTCAGAAGTTAGTGGCCTGAATTCTTGGATGCTACAGAGACGTGACAACTTTGCAGCTTAACAGTTATTAAGTGGCCAGGTCACAGCAGTTCTTTGTCTCTAGAATGGCCTTTTTCTGTTGTATGTGCTGTCAGGTTTTCAGAGGCTGCTCATCTTTCTCCGTGGAGCACCTAATGGAGGCTGTGTACTTTTGGGTTGGCAGCACAACTTTTTACCCATTAGGCCATCAGGGCTTCTGCTTCTTTTTAGAGATGATTTTTTTTTTTTTAAAAAAATTATTTTAATTGTGATTTTAACTAAAATTTACAGAAAAGTTAGATTTTTATTTATTCATTGTTGCACATTTTCTCCCCTGCCCGCCCCCAGAGGTGATTTAAGTTGTACTCAAATAACTCATATCTATAAAACTCGGCCCTTTCTGTGTAGAACACAAACTGGGTCTGTGGAGCCTCATCTCGTTTGTTGAGTGCCTTAAAGTGACAGTAGCTCATAACCTCATCATTCTCCAAACTTTCCTGCCTCCTGGCATGAGCCCCTGCTGACTCCTCTTGTACTCAGCATCCCTGGATTCTCACACACTCACACCCCTTCCAGATGTCCCACCCTATGTTACCCCTGACCCAGCTTTCATAAGCTACTGGTTTTACATGCTTATAGGTTCTTTAGGGATGGAACATTGGCAGTGCTGTATGAAGGGTCATTGTTCTCTATAGCTGTTAGAATTTTTGTAATACACAGGAAATTGTAGGAAACTCCATATGCGCTAGATACTTTACTAGCAGCTGCTTTTTATTCAGTCTAGTGTAAACTGATTCTATCAAGATAGTCTTTGTTTTCCTCTGTAGTTGAGTGCAAAGAAAATGATCTTTTTTGATTGCAATTGTGTTTTGTGGAGTCAGCAGTCATATATCATTACATGCCCTGTTCTCTCACGTAAACTGCTGCCTCTAGGTTTAAAGTTCAGTGCTGGCAATCCAAGAACAGTAATATAAATTTATTAATTTTAATGTAGTCACTTTTAGGATTCATTTATGTCTACCTCAAAATATGTGACTTACTACTTATTTGCAGCAGTACTCAGTGGTAGTAGACAGTTGAATATAGTTGACTTGACTTTCAGACCTCATTTTATATGATTTCTAAAAAAATAAGCAAAAAGCCAACTTTACGTTGTTTGTGACTTAAAGGCTGAAGAGGATTCCCACCTGGATGGGGCCGTCCCTATCCCTGCGCTGCCTGGGAGTGGGGCAGACAGCCTGCAGCAGACGATCCAGGCTGTAGTCGACAATGTGTGCTGGCAGATGTCTTTGGACCGGAAGACGACAGCACTGAAACAGCTTCAGGGCCACATGTGGAGAGCAGCGTTCACGGCCGGGCTCATGAAAGCAGAGTATGTACCGAGCACATGACTTAACAATTTTCAAACCCAAATGCACTTTTCATAACTCTCTCTTAACTGATTGATAAAGCCGATAAAATCAAAGTCCTTGTTAGTCTCACAAATGAGTGTTTTGTTTTGCTCAGAACCGTGCTAAAGCATTTCAACCAACTGAATTCTCCAGACTTGCATGTCTGGTTTGGTAGGACGCATGAAGACTTAATCCTAGGTTAAAACAGCATCTTTGAAAATGCTGGATTGATTTAAGTCATATTTGATCCTTAGTACATGGATGCTGCTTCCCAGAACCTTTATACGTTATTCATTTGCTTTCTTTGTTGAACAAGACTGCTATGAAATTATGTACCCTGTGACTTTGGGATTTCACAGAGTGTCAACAGTGCTACTCTTCTGTGTTCTTCTATGATCTTTTGAGTATTGGTGGTAGATTTCTAGCTTCTTGTATAAGGAGACTTAGGAGTTCTGGACTGCTTAGATACGTTTTTCCCCCCTCTCGTTTCCTTTCTTTAATAAGACATTCCCACTATAGATTTTAGGCTAGTACCTGATAACCCATAGATCCAGGATATTTCTTTTGTATTTCTGACACATAAGATTTGATTATGCCATTTACTTGGAGCTTCTCATTTAAAGGATGCATTAACATTTCAGTATAGGCCAGTTATCTGAAAAATTATAGCTGGATCACTTGTAAAGCACTCACAAGAGTAGAGTGAGGGGTGAGCATTCCCATCCCTTGGTGTTGAGTCCTTAATTATAAATCCAGGGGCTTGGAAGAAATTATCTCAGATGTGTAAGCCCAGCTTTAAGCAAGAATATGGAAATTCATCATAGAAAAACTCTGTTTTCCCAAGTACAAAGTGATACCCTCATTAATTATTTGTATTGGTTTTGAACTTTCTGTAGTGTAAATAGCTAAATATATTGCTTTGTTTTTGTTCGGAATGCCTGTTAATTCAGTGTTAGTAGATTAGATTAATTCAGCTAAGAACCAAGAAACCACTAACACTTGGAATAAAATTCAGAGTAAGATCTGAAGCTTGAGATATATTGGAATACTACACCAGTTGATTCTCTTGGGGGATTTGCTAAAAATACCCAGTATCTAAAGTTAAAATTTTATTAAGTGCTTATATTTTAACTTTGGCAAAGTGATAAAAATCAGTGCATTGTTTATTAACAATTTCAGTGGTCTATGTTTGTGTGTATAAATACGTGTTCAGAATAATCCAGACAATATCAGTTAAGAATTACTTCCTACATATTGTCCATTGTGATTTACAGTGCTAACCCAAAGGCCTCTAGCAGTTTGAATCCACTGGTGCTTCCCCAGAGAAAGATGAGTGATCTCCTTCCATGTGATTTATCGCCTTAGAAATCCAATGGAAGATCAGCTTTGACTTGGTTCCGACTTTGGTGGTAATGAATTTGAGTTTTCCTTCAAATAAACTTCCATAAGGTGTTCCTAGCTGACTTTGTCTCACATTCCTTAGACATGCTGTCAGGAGGTGCCAGTCCTTGGAAGAAGACATCTTTCTTGGGGAAGCAGAGGGTCACTAAAACTGGTAGAGTCTTAACAGAATGAACTAACATAGTGACTGCAACAGTGGGGGTAAGCACAGCAGAGATTGTGATGATGGTGCAGACTATACTAGGTTTCATTCTGTTACACAGTAGATTACTGTGAGCCAGAGCTGGCACCTTACAATAATAGTTCTTTTATATAATTAAAAAAAAAACCCAAACCACCAACTAGACAGCAGTTAATATTAACATGTTGTTGGGAGAAACTATGACACCTAGTGACCCTATAAACAACAGATCTGAACCTTTTCCTTTCCTGTGCCATCTTTATCATCTCTGATATACTTGAGGCCATTGCTTCAGTGGCCGTATCAGTCCATCTTGATGAGGGTCGTCCTCTCTTTTTGCTGACCCTCCACCTTTCCAGGCATGATGTCTTTTCTGAGGAACAGCCTCTCCTAACAATATGCCCAAAGCATATGTGAAATGGAACGTCACCATCCTTGCTCAAAGGAGCACTATGAATGCATTTGCTCTGAGACTTACGTATTTGTTCTTTTGGTGGTCCCATGGACACTCAGCACTCTTCTCTAATACAACTCAATGTTATCGATCCGTTTCTTAAAAGCATGATTAAGTGTTCTGTAATTTCTATTCTTTTCAATGTTAGCCATAGTTTCTTATGATCCACACGTCAAATGCTTTTGCATAGTCAGTAAAAGATAACATAGTGCTTAGTATATGCCCAGTGTAGTTCTCAGTCCTTTCTATGTATTAATTAGCCCTCTTAATAACCTTGTAAAGTAGGTGATATAATTCTCCTCCATATTTGTAAAATGAAAAAGTGGGCAAAGTTGTTGTTGTTGTTGTTATGTGCTGTGGAGTCGCCTGCGACTCATAGCGACCCTATGTACAACAGCCCTAAACTCCGCTCTGTCCTGTGCCATCGCACTGTCTCTGACACTCCCATCCCAATTATCCCAGTCACTGAATCAATTGACCTCATAGAGGGCCTTCCTCTCCTGCGCCGTCCCTCCACCCTCCCAAGCATGATGTCCCTCTCTAAGGACCGGTCTCTCCTCACTACATGTCCAAAGTAAGTTAGACGAGCCTCAGAATCCTTGCCTCCAAGGAGCCACCCGGTTTAACCCTCTCCAGGACAAATCTATTTGTTTTCCTAGCAGTCCATGGTATTCTCAATACTCTTCTCCAGCACCACAGCTCAAAGGCATCAGTTCTCCTTCTATCCTCCTTGGTCATTGTCCAACTCTCTGATGCATAACAAGTGATTGCGAAGACCATGGCCTGTATCAGACGCACCTTAGTCTCCAGAGAGACACCACTGCTCTTCAGCACTTTGGAGAGGTCCCTAACAGCAGACTTTCCCATGGCAATGCGCCTTTTAATTTCCTGGCTGCTGGTGCCAAGACTGTTGACTATGGAGCCAAGCAAACTAAAGCTGTGTACAATCTCAATCTCTTCACCATCCATCCTGATGCTGCCAATTGGTCCAGTGGTGAGAATCTTTGTCTTCTTGACATAACCCCTAATGTGGGTAAAGTAAGGTTAAGTAATGTACCCAAGGTCACTCAGCTTAGGTTTAGTCAGGGGAATGTTGGCTGTATTTTAAACAGTAAAAGATGCTTAACCAAGCCATCTGCCCTGGCATCAATTCCAACTCAAAGCAACCTTATAGGACAGAGTCCGCCTACCCCTTGGAAGGTAAATCCTAATGGAAGCAGACTAATTTTTCTCAGAATAGCTGGTAGATTCAAATTGTCCACCCTTTAGTTAACAGCTCATCACCACCACAGGGCTCTTAAAGGATTTCTACACAGAAAATAGTGACGATCTGAGGCAGGTATATACCAGTAATGTGGGTCAAAGTGGTCTCAGCTATCTGGATAGGAATATTACACATATATGTTTATATTTACCAAATGATGAGACTGAATGTTGTACATGAATCTGATTATTTATGTCCATTTAGTAATATTCTTTAAGTAGACTCCCGTGGCATAATCCCATTTTACATTTGATAATTTTATTAATGAAAAGAAAGTTGCACATTTATTCTACTTAGAAATTGAGACTGACCTGATAGTGGGAAGAGAGGCATGCTGAAGGCTGGCATACACGGAACAGGACTTCTGGGAACATTTAGTCCGAGCTTAACAGAGCTCTGTTGTTAGTGCTCTTGTTTGTTTTCACTACCCGTCCTGGATGCAGGAGATGCCATCAGCTACACCATCCCCTTTGACCTTTTAATAGCTTATTTCTCTGTGGAGAGTACAGAAAGGTGAAAACTACTGCCCAGGAGTCTGGGCAAGCATCCAATTAATTATGTTTTCTATGTTTCTTCTTTACCATATAATAAATAATAAAAAGATAATTCTTTTTTCTTAAAACTGTATTTATTAATATAAGTTCTGTATTTAGTGTTGTTAGGTGCTGCTTTCAAGTCAAGAGTGACTCATAGACACTCTATGAACAATAGATCTGAATCGTGTCTTATCCTGTGCCAACCTCACCATCTCTGACACACTTGAGTCCATTGCTTCAGTCACTGTGTTACCTACCGGATTGAAGGTCTTCCTCTCTTTCGTCATCTCTACCTTCCCAAACATGATTTCCCTCTTCAAGGAATAAGCATTTCCTAGCAACATGCTCAAAGTATATGATATGAAGCTTTATCATTCTTGCCTCCAAGGAGTATTCTGGCTGCACTTTCTCTAAGGCATATCTGTTTGTTCTCTTGGCAATCCATGGTTCAGTACTTTTCTTCAGTACCACAACTCAAAGGCATCAGTTCTTCTTCTATCATCCTTATTCACTGTCCAGCTCTCACTTTTTCAGTGATTGAAAAGACCATGGCCTATCTCAGGCAAACCTTACTCTTCAGACTAATACCATGGCTCATCAGTAATTTGGAGAGGTCTTTGACTGTAGACTTTCCCAGTGCAGTAGACCTCCTGACTTTTGGTACGAAGTGTATTGATTGTGGATCTTAGTATGATGATGTCGTTGATAGTTTCAGTCTTTTCTCCATCTATCATTATGTTGCCTATTGGTCCAGCGGTGAGAATTTTCGTTTTCTTGATGTTGAGATGCAAACTATATTGAAGGTTGTAGTCTTTGATCCTCTGCAGCAAGCACTTCAAGTCGTCCTCACTTTCAACAGTCAAGATTTGCTATCTGCATAACAAAAGTTATTGATGAGTTTTCCTCTGATCCTGATGTATACATTTAAGTGAAAAAGTTTCTGAAATTAGTGAATACATTTTTATTAGGCTCTGGTATTTTTACTAAACATGATCTCAGTTATACTTTTCTACAAATCTATATAGCCTCACTTCTTGCTTTGTTAAGCATATATAAAATACTGATAATTTTCATGTTTTTAATAGTCATGCTTTTTTGAGAATAGGAACCTATTTAATTTTGGGGGGAATTAAAATGGATAGGAAGAATTTGATCGATAGGCAAATGCCTATTACATGTAAACTTAACTCCAATTTTTATAGATTTGCCATTAAGGTTTTTTATCTTTTTTTAAAAAAATATATTGAGGTACAGTATACATGTCATACACTTATGCCAATTTAAAATGTAAATTTTAGTTTCTTTTACTAAATATATCTTTTGCGAGCTCTAGTGGCCTAGTGGCAATTTGAATCAACCAGATGCTCTGCTGGAGAAGGAGAGACAATTTCCTCCTGTACCAGTCAGATCCGATTTGACGGTACACACACACAAAAACATCTGTAAAAAAAAAAAATAAAAAACTAAAATATCTCTTTTGTTTTAATATTTTGCTGTGTTTTGCTAAATGGATAGCATTTAGGTTCCCATCTGACAGTTTGTTCAGATGACAAATTGTTTATTGATATATGAGTTACATTTTTCATAATGTGTCAACTTTCTCATGAATTGTGTCCTTTTTATTTTCATTTCCAGTTCTCTTGTTTAATTATGAGGCTTTTAGGAATCTAAACTTAGTAGAAGGAAGATATAAATAAAGTGTCATAAATAAATTTTCCAGTTAATCTTTTAATGAAGACCCGTTCAGTATGTCAGGTTCTTTGTGCTTATTTTCCACCTATTTCTTGTGACAGTATTTGTGACAGTCATCAACATAAGACAGGATTCCCTTCTGACATAACTGGAATAGATTTGTTTTGGTTTTTTCTCCCCCATTATCAGTATCTTTATTAAGCTGATCTTTTGTCTTTGGGGATAGAAGTATTACATACAAACATAATTCATATATTCATACAAAAAGAACACAAATAATAAACATTTATGATGAATAATACCAAGATAACGTTTGCATTTTGTCAGTTGCAGAAATAACTCCCCCACTTGTGGAAGGTTCTGTATTGTCTCTGGAAATCAAAATAGCATTTCTTCTTAGAAAATTAGTGCGAGTTGGTCCTTTTCTTCATGAATTTCTCAGTAACAGCTGTTGTCTGAGTCTGCTTTTCAATTTTAGTAAAGATCAGTCATTGTTTGAGTTCCTGTTTTGAAGTATTTGAAGCCCCTAAGTTAATTTAGAGAAAATAGCAGTCAGTACACCTTTTGCTGAAATATTTTTACAACTTCTCCCTTTGTTATTTCTTGGTTCTTCAGCAATTTTCTTTTAAAAGACCTGACCTGTAATTTTACCTTCATTATAACATTAATTCTTCCACGTTAGCAATAGTCAAAATTCATTGTTCTCATATAAATGAGTTTTTTTACTGATCTCCATCACAGTCAAATGCTTGGAGTTGTTCACGTAACTCAGTAAGTTCTAGCTCGGCTGCATGCGTTTGTCTGCATGCCTCCTTCCAGGGAGATACAGTGCTCTGAATACACTGAAGAATATTATTAATGAAGTCAGTATCAATGTTGTAGCAATGAATTTGGTGTTGTAATGGCTGTTAGATTCACACATAGTTCAGTTTTCATACATCATTAGAGTTGAATAATGCCCTATTTTCTATTATGACTTTCTACGTTGAGACTGACAAGAGTGTTATCGTAGACTAGGCTATGGGCTATATAGTAGTCTTAACAGTAAACGAGAACATAGATCATTGGCAGGTGAATATTCCTGAATGACACATTTGGCAAATTCCACGCTAGAATATTATATGTAGGACATAATACTAATGAGAAGATATATCCCCTTTTTCCCCTGGATGGTTGTTAAGTGCAGTTTGTCATAACATGAATATGTAATAACTTAGGGGCTGACTAAGCCTCATTTATCAAAACTAGACCCTGCTTGCTGGTCGTTATTGTGAGATGGCATAAGACTCTTCACTGACTTGTTAGCATATTTTTCTCCCTGTAGAGTTAAGTTTTCTCAGGCCTTTTTTTTTTAAATAAAATTTTTATTTTATACTGGTTTACTTACCAAAGTTGGTATACATTGTTTTTGACACCGCATCTTTTTCGTTTACTTAACCCACCCCTCCCTCCACCCATTAAATTGTGCTACCCTATGATCACCTGCCCCATCCCACCCCTGTGATCCAACCCTCTCCCACTTAGATCCTCATACACATTTTTTCTGGTTATCTATTTCTACCATAATGGTCTTATACAGTATTTGTCCTTAAGAGATTGAGTTAGTTCACTTAGAATAATGCTCTCCACTCCCTTTCATGCTAGGTAGTTATTTACAAAATCATTGCTCCTGCATGCTGTATAGAATTTCATCGTGTGAATGTACCATGATTTCTAAATCTATTAAGTTGTGGTTGGACATTTGGACTCTTCCATGTTCGCTGCTATGAACATTAGTGCACAAGTGTCTGTTGTTACCTCAGTTCTCATTTACTCGGGGTATATTCCAGGAAGTGGAATAGCTGGGTCATATGGAATTTCTATGTTCAGCTTTCTGAGGAAACGCCAAACTGCCTTTCAGAGTAGTTGTACCATTTCACAATCCCACCAACAGAGTATAAGAGTTCCTATCTCACCACATCCTCTTCAGCATTTATTACTTGCTGTCCTGTTAAACATTGCCACTGCTACTGGAGTGTGATGGTATCTCATTGTGGTTTTGATTTGCATCTCTTATTGCTAGTGATTTTGAGCATTTCTTCATGTGTGTCTATCGACCATCTGAGTATCTTCCTCTGTGAAAAGTCTTTCCATGTCTTTTGCCCATTTTGTAATTGGATTATTAGTCTTTTTCTTGTGGAGGCCTTGTAGGATCCTGTCTGAAAGGGTTCTTGAAACCAATTGCATTGCCAAAGTTTTTCCCAATCAGGCTTTCTTTTCACTCTGTTGGGAAAAAGTTTTTGATGGATTTAATCTTTATAAGGTCTCATTCATCAGTTTTCATCAATTCATCAATTTTATCCTCTCCAGATTGTACATTTCTGACTGTATTTGGCAGTCTCTATACTGTGGACTAGATCTTCTGAGCTTGATCCCAGTTTGTCTCTGATGAGCTTTACAATTTTGGGCTTTAGTTCCGGGTCTTATCCACCTTGGTTTGATTTTTGTGTCTAATATGAGATGTGGATCCTGTTTCAGCTTTCTGCAGGTAGCAGTCCAGTTTTGTCAGCACCATTTGTTGAAGAGGTTGTCATTTTCCCATTTGATAGGTTTTTTTTTTCTTATTGAATATCAGTTGACCATAGATACCTTAGTCTATTTCTGGGCTCTCAATTCTGTTACATTGGTCTGTGTTCCTGTCGTTGTACCAGTACCATGTTGTTTTGGTTACTACTGCTGTGTGGTAGGTTTTTCTTTGTGGTATCTCATTTATTTATTTATTTTTAAAATTTATTATTAATTTCAATGAAAATTTACAGAGACTTTGGCTTTCCATTCATGTTGTACTTTTCTCCCCTCCCAGCCTCCCCCCCTCCCCCGAGTACAATACCCTCTTGGAAAAGTAAAAGAAAAAGTCTTTCATTGTTTTACAATCCCTCCCCCCAGGTCCACTCCACTATGCAGCCTTTGCTCTGGACTCCTGTCATGACAAAAATACCTAATCATATATCCCTTTTAAACAGTTCTCTCCCTCATCTGTTTCAATGCAGTATACATTATTGAACCCATCTTTCTCAGTCTCCCCCCAACCCCGAGGTCATACTGTTGTACAACACTGGCAGCATGCAGTATTTGTCTTTTTGTGACTGAGCACAGCATAATGTCCTCCAGGGTCACTCATTTTGAATAATATTGCATGAGTTCCTTGTTTTTCAATACAGCATAGTATTCCATTGTGTGAATATACCACAGCTTTTCTATCCATTTGTTTGTTGATGGGCACTTAGGTTGTTTCCAACTCCTTGCTATTGTGAACAAAGCCGCAATAAACATGGGTGTGCATATATCTGCTTGGATGTCAGTTATGGTCTCTTTGGGGTATATTCCCAGTAGTGGAATTGCTGGGTCAAATGGCATCTCTATTTGCAACTTTTTGAGAAAGCGCCATATCGCCTTCTACAGTGGTTGTACCATTTTACACTCCCACCAACAGTGAATAACAGTTTCTCCACAACCTCGCCAGCATTTGTTGCTTGCTGTTCTGTTAAATTTTGCTATTATGACTGGGGTGAGATGATATCTCATAGTTGTTTTGATTTGCATATTTCTTAGAGCTAGGGATTTTGAACATTTCTTCATGTGCTTGTTGTCCATCTGAATGTCTTCTTTGGTGAAGTGTCTGTTCATATCCTTTGCCCATTTTTCTATTGGATTATTAACTTTTATCTTGTTGTGGTGCTCAAGTATTTTATAAATTCTAGATATTAGTCCCTTATCTGATATGTCACTAACAAATACTTTTTCCCAGTCTGTGGCATCCCTTTTTATCCTGTTGGAGAAGTTTTTGGATGTACCTAGGGCTTTGATTCTTAGAAGGTCCCATTCATCTATTTTATCTTCTCCTGGTTGTAGGTGTGTGGTGGGTTTTGAGGTCAAGGATTGTTATGCCTTTCGTTAGTTCTTAAATAATGTTGTTATCTTAAACTGGACATAATTTAACCGTATGTTTCTCACAAATTACATCAAAGAGTATGTAATAGTACAATATTGCTTACTTTTTTGAGCGCCTTGGAAAGCTTTTCCCATCACTTTCTTATTTCATCCTTTTTTCTGCTTTATTACTTATTTGTAGTAAAAGTAGTGTTTACTATTATTAGTACGGCTGTCAGAAACAAATCTCTTCTCCACCAAAGTTGTTGCTTCTAATCTGCTGTGAGCCTGGAACTCTGGTAATGAGCTTGTTAGAACTGCAAGGGTCGCCCCTGATGGCCCTTTGTAGACATGAACAGAAGAACTTGACAGATTTTCATCTGGCTAGGTGACATGATCCTGCATTTTAACTTGGTAATGTTCCTTCTAGGTTCTTTGAAGATGTTATTCCAGCTGTCAGGAAATGGAGAGAGGCTGGAATGAAAATATATATCTATTCTTCAGGGAGTGTAGAAGCACAGAAACTATTATTTGGACATTCTACAGAAGGTGATATTCTTGAGGTAAGTCACTTAGTTATTTGACACTCAAATAATGAAATAATGAATGTTAGAGGAATGTACTACATGTATAAGCTGAATATATCAGTATTTGTATAATTGCATTTATATTTATGCCATACAGTCAAGTCAGTTGTAGAGAGAAGTGGGAAATAAAGGGAAAGATGAAGTGTTTTATTTTGAAACTTTGTTATGTATAAGAATCATCTAGGGAACTAGTTTCTTAGTGAACCAGATTTGACTTAAGGAGAGTGTGAGAAGGTTAGGGATCTGCACTTCACACAGTCACCTTACATGATAGGGATCCTGATCAGGGTAATGTTGTTTACAACTATACATCTTTCTACATCTTAGAATGTTGGTCGTGCAGTGGTTACAGTGCCCGGCTGTAAACTGAAAGGTTGGCCCTTCAGGTCTGCCTGCTGCTCTGTGGAAGCAAGATGTAGCAACCTGATCAGAAATCTTAAAGCTGTAGAGACCCTGTGGGACAGTTGTCCTCTGTTCTAGAGAGCTCTTAGGAGTCTGACTTGACTCAAAGGTAGTTAAGTTTGGTTTTGGTTTTGTATCTTTTCTGTCTCTAGCTCTAAAAGGGCTAATAAATTTGCATGTTAATCCATGATAATGGCAATATTTGAAAATTGTCAAATAGGAAACTAATGAGATCCTTCCTTTGGTTCAATAACAGTTGTGTGGGGTATTTGGTTTTTTTAAATTTACCAAATAAGGCAAGCTTGAGAAAAGGAAATACTAAAAATCAGTCTTAACTTTAATTTTAAAAAACCAACCAACACCACCTTAATATTAATTTATATTTGCATGATCTCTACACATTCTTTCAATTTGTGGAAAGTTCTGAAACGTTTAAAATGTCACAGTATTTGATTCTAAACACAGATTTTCTTTTTTACTGTTTTTATTTTGTCTTATTGTGATTTTAGTGAAAGTTTACTAATTAATATTTTATTCATAATATTATTTTCAGTACTCAATGTAATCACATTTCTCCTGTTTCCTCCCTGTAATTCTGATTTCCATTATTCCTTCCGTACCTCTATGTCTTTCATTTCTGTAGTGATACTGTGCTGATCATCCTCTTTCTGGATGTTGCTTTTCCCTTCACCCATTTTAATATGTGTGTTATCTGTTTACTAATTTTTACTCTCTTCTCATTCCTGGTAGCTATCCAAGAATGATTCTATATATGTAGAAATCTTTCTGTGGCTTTTTCTTACACTGGTCTTGTTTCTGACTTTTTCACTCATCATAAACATAAATGTCCTCAAGATTCTTTCATGTTATGTTGTTGTGTGCCATCTTCCACAAAATTCTTTATTGTTTTTGAGTGTTGTATACTCCATTGTGTGAATGTACTGTATGTAGTTTCTTTATTTGTTCATCTGTTGGACACTTGAGTTGTTTCTGTTACTTTGCTATTACAAGTAATGCTGCATTGAGCATTAGTATTGTGGCAAACATTCTTATTTTTGGACAGCAAAATGTAGAAAAATGAAACAATTTAAGATGAATTGGCACAGTGACACAAGCAGTGATGTTGAGCATGTCAGAGGTCATGAGGATGGTGCACAATAGGGCAGGCTTCTGATCCCTTGTTTTATAGAGTTGCTATGAGTCGTAAGTAAGTAAACTCAACAGCACATAACAACATAATTCAGTGACTCTCAGTACATCTTTTAAATTGTGTAACCACTCACTATCCTTTTCCATATTTTTCGACCACTCTTTACATAAAGGGGGCGCTGGTGGTTTTGTGGTAAGGAGTTGCACTACCAACCCAAAGGCATGGAGTTCAAATCTACCAGCTGGTCCACAGGAGGAAGAGGGGCCGTCCCCTTCTGGCAATTAACTGCCTCTGAAAATTCGCTGGATGGTCAGCTATGAGTTGATTCCGAGTAGATGGTACATAACATTACATCAGCTGCTATCCCATGATGTGGACTTCTTTTTAAATTAACAAATTACACCGTTGACGCCAGTTATTTTTTAAGAGTGTATGTTAGTCCTTTGGTGGAGTTTAAAAATTAAATAATAGAAAGTAAAATTTCTTGAAAGTAAAGAATGAGGCGAGTTAAAGGACATCTCTTCCTTCTGGTTTCAAAAGAATGTCTTTACCACCATTGGAATGTAGTTCAACAAATAGTTTGAGTGCAAAATAGTGTTGATGAAAGATAGTAGAGCATGCATACTTTAAAATATTTTTAATCTAAAATTAATACAAATGAAACAAAGTAGATTATTTTTTCTTTATTTTCAAATAGATTATAAATTGACTTTAATTTTACACATTGCACTTGTGGTTTTCTACCAGGTGCTGTTGCTATAAAAAAATCTTAATTTTACATTTATTTTTTGTAAGCCATACAGCTAGACCTTCCATAAATATTTATTGAAAGAACAGAGTTGCTATTGCTATGACATATTCCAGAAAAAAAGAAACAGGGAATAAAGGAATCAGAATTAGCAAGTGTATCTACATTATCACTCTGTCCCCTCGTTCTCTTTGCTCAGCTTTTTGATGGCCACTTTGATACTAAGATTGGACATAAAGTGGAGAGTGAGAGTTACCGGAAGATTGCAGACAGCATTGGTTGTTCAACCAACAACATCCTCTTCCTGACAGACGTTACTCTAGGTGAGTGATAACGATTTCTCATATTGCATATTCTGGTATAAGAGCTGAGCTTGACACTACAAACATATTGTCCATTTAAAGAAAGTATATGGTGAAGATCCTTGAAAAATGAAACCGTTTCTTAAAAAGGAACAGTGTGAGCCAAATAAGCGACCTTCTTCTCCACTTATTCAATTCTTTAGAGGTTAGTATGGAGAGAGCATTAATAAGACTTGGTATGTTTAATACTCATTTTAACTCCTTACCAATGACTGCCTACCCTTTACTCCCTCTCTCTCTTCCCCCTGCCACAGTGGGAAAATAACAAGACTTCCAGGGTATCATTATGAAAGGGCATGCAAGCAAGAGTATGAATAGGTGCATATTTTTTACCCAGCCTGCCCCTCTTTGTTATATACTGTACATTGTTGTTGTTGTTACGTGCTATTGAGTTGAGTGTGACTCATAGCAACTCTGTGAACAACAGATCTAAACCCTGTCTTACTCTGTGCCATCCCCTTCATCTCTGACACACTTGAGCCCATTGCTGCAGTCACTGTGTCAATGCATCTCACGGAGAATCTTCTTTCTTTGCTGACCCTCCACCTTTCCAGCTGTGATGTCATATTCTAAGGAATGGCTTTTCCTAAAAACATGCCCAGAGTGTGTGAGACAAAGTTTCACCATCTTTGCCTCTGAGGAGCATTTTCACTGCGCTTTCTCCAATACAAAGTAAAATGTAGGCCATGGGTAAGAGTGTCTCATCTCTGGTCGTGTTAATGACATGTAGTCTTTCTCTGCTGCTCAGCCTTGGACTTTTGGTCTATTGTGTTAGGCAGGAGTTCTTCTATATAAAACAAAGAAACAAAAGCCCCCATCAGTTTCCAGTGAGTTGATTTTGATTCATGATGATTCTGTGGGTGTCAGAGTAGAACAGGGCTCTGTAAGGTTTTCAAAGGCTGATTTTCTAGAACAAGATCACCAGACCCTCCTGAGGGTGGACTTGAGTCTCTAGCCTTTCAGTTAAGTCAATGAGCACTTAGTTGTTTGCTGTATGCACCTAAACTGTTCTTTAAAATTCTTATTTGTATAGGTTATCCACTGAATTCAGAAGTTACAACTTTTTCTAGAGACAGTGATTTAAAGCAGGCTTGATTTTACTTAACTTATAGGCAGTATTGAGTAAATGAATCTCTGTTAAAATTTTGGTCATTAGTGAATCCAGACTGATATTTTTTACTTAAGTAGACAATGACCAAGGAGGATAGAAGGAGAATTGATGTCTTTGAGCTGTGGTGCTGGAGAAGAGTATTGAGAATACCATGGACTGCTAGGAAAACAGATTTTCCTGGAAAGGGTTAAACCGGCTGGCTCCTTGGAGGCAAGGATTCTGAGGCTCCGTCTAACATACTTTGGACATGTTGTGAGGAGACACCGGTCCTTGGAGA